ATCTACAAGTCTTTTGGTGTTTTGGGTATTCTACGTAGAGTATCATGTCATCTGCAAGTAGCAATAATTCAACACCTTCCTTTCTTATCCTTAATCTTTACAATTGTTTCTTGTATAAGTGCTCTGGCTAATGTTTCCAGAAAAATATTAAGAGTGGCGACAGTAAACATCCTTGTCCGGTTCCTGAATTCAAAGTAAAAGGTTTCAGTTTCTGTCCAGTTAGTATGATGTTGGCTGTTGATTGGTCATTGATGGCTTTAATCAGATTGTGAAAAAACCACCTATTCCAATTTTCTGTAGGGATTTTATCATTAATAGGTGTTGGACTTTTCAATTTTTTTATGCATCTGTTGAGACGATCATATGGTTTTTTTTCTTGGCTTTGTTAATGACATATTATATTTATTTATTTGAATATATTGAAGCATGCCTACAGTTGTGGTCCTATTGCATAATCTTCTTCATGATTTACTACAATCTGTTTGCCAATATCTTATTGAGGATTTTTAAATCTGTGTTCACTAGGATGATTGGCTGCTAGTTCTCTCTTGGCTGGACACTTCTCTGCCTTTGGAGTCAAGGTAATGCTTTATTTTACAAAGAGTTTCGGAGTATTGCTTCTCTTTCAACTTCATTAAACAGTGCCAAAAGTTATTCTCTAAATGTTTTGTAGAATTCAAGAGTGAATCTGTTAGGTCCTGGGGTTCTCCTGGATGGTAAGTTTTAATTGCATCTTCAATTTCATTGACTGACATTTACTTATTTAGAAGTTGTATGTCATCTAGATTAAGCTTTGGTAAGTCATTTTTTTTCTACGAATATGTCCATTTGTTCGAGTTTTCCATCTTATTTGAATACAGATTGTTGACATAGTTATTGATTTTCTGATTTCTGTAGGATCTGTTACAATTTTTCCATTTTCATGGGTTTTAGTTTTTCTTCTTGTGATAAATTTGGCTAAGAGTTTACCAACTTTATTTAGTCTTTCAAAGAACCAATGCTCAAGTCATTTATTTATCTCTATTGCATTACATTCTGCTTGTGTCTTTCTCATTCCCTCCATCATATGAACTTTTGGTTGCACTGCTCTTCCTTTTGTAGAATCCTGAGGTTCAATATTAGGTTTTTGTTTTGTTTTGTTTTTTGTTTTTTGTGGTACCAGGGATTCAACTCATGCTCAGGACCTTGTGCTGGCCAAGTTAGCACTTATTCCACAGAGCTACCTCCATAGCCCTAGGCTGTTTTATTAAGCTTGCTCTGTTTTTCTAATTTGCAAATTCACTACTTTCAATTTCCTTTTAGGACCAATTTCATGGTGCACCATAAGTTTCAGTGCATGGAACTGACATTAGTTTTTAATTGTAGATTTCTCTAGGTTTTCAGCACATTATCTCTTCACAAAACACTTAAAAGTTTGATATAATTTGAGGAGTTAATTTTAAGTACAACACAAACTTTTTGTTTCACGTGCTATTCCAGGCAGCTTGTCTTGCTCCAAAACCCATTCTAGTGAGCAGACAAAGGAAGTTTTGTTATCCTCTTGCCAGTTGAAATTGGCGCTCAGAGTGGTTGATGAGAACTCCTTTTACATCAGAGACACCTGCGTACAGCACTGTAGTTATCAAATGGGATTTGATTTCAAATGGTTACAGCTAAGGATATGACTTGTATAATTTACTAGCATCTAATAGTAGAAGCTCTTTCCTTAAATAGACAGCTATCCTTTCATTAAGAAGATGATGGCATGGTGTAGCCAATAGAGAAACAGAGCCCATAGTAACTGGGGCTGACTTAACACTGACTCAAGGCATTGAAGAAAAATGGTGAGAAAATGAATGTCAGACAATGTGCTATCATGACATGCACTTTGCATTATATGATCTTGTTTCTTCTACTGAATGAGTTTCCAGATACATTTTATTATTTTTTTACAGAAAATAAAAACTAGTAAAAAACACTGGGAGTGACACTAAATTACTAAACAAAATGAGAGGAATTCAGCAAGGATTATATTGCATATTTTGTCTTCAAATGGGCTCTTCAGATTACCAGATATAAGAAAGCAAAAGTGGTAATAAATTATGAAAAAATAAAAAAGAGAGAGAAATTTAAGCATGAGCTTCTCCTTTCAATAGACCAGCAGATATCAATTGTACAGTCACCCAAGCTGACCTGTGCGTGTACATATGTAATTCTTTCTCCTTCCCTTCTTTCTGTTCTCCTCATCCCAATGGTCCCTTCCCTTTTACAGCATCTATTGTACGTTTCAGATTTTATTTACCCTTCTAGGTTTTTACACTATACAATGTTTACACACAATCTCCAGATCCACTTTAAATCAGCTACATTAATTTACAGTGTCTTGGGAGTGGTAGGGGCTATTGTGGAACTATTTCTGCTACATGATTCAATTGAAAATCTTTTTGTTGTACAAAAATTCATTCTTAACTACTATATTACAGAAATAAAATTCCAGAAGGTTGGAATTATTATTGAGTCTGCCTTCTGGGAATCACCCATAAAAATCCTGCCCATATTTATACATATATGTAAAATATTAATACTTGGATTTTAGGGAAAACATTATCTTTTTATTTCAATTTTTATAAATCTAGGGGCAATGCCTGCTCATTCAATGCTTGTTAATATATTTTCATTGTAAGTTTGTGACCACATATTATGAATAATTGGTTTAAAACTTAAAAAGAAACTCAGCTTGTTAAAAATGTTTTGTGCTTTTTCACTACACTCCTTATTGAAAGTTATTTTATGATTAATATCTATTTTTATTTTGGTTTAGGCTTGAATTTATCATTGAAAAGTTCTCATGAATAGAAGGGGAAGCAATGATACTTTCTACATTTATTTA